AGTGGTACCTCGTTTAATCAGCATAATTCGTTCCAGAATCTTACTTGTAATGCAAAACACTCATTAAGCAAAACAATTTTTCCCATATAAATTAATGTAAAATACGATAATGCGTTCCATTCCGAGAAAAATGCTCAAAAATTTTATGTATAACGTTTATCCAAAGAAAATTATATATTCATTGTTAAGGAGCGTGAATCATCTTCATCTTTTCTTCTATGTGGAATGAACCAACCTGGAATGCAGATTTGATTTGCATAAAACAAAAAAAAATCGGGGACATTTTTGCAAGGGTTATTAAACTTTGCACAAAAAAAATCGCAAATAATATGCCTGAACACAAGTTTGGAAAAATGTGTGATCACAAGCAACACTAAGATGCTAGCGGAACGAGTGCTAAACATAGACTGATGTAGCAAGCGCACAATCTGGACGTCTCTTGTCACTCGTTATGCAAAACATCGCTCGTTAAGCGAGTCATTTTTTTACAATTTGTTTTGCTCGTTATGCGAATTACTCATTTTGAGAGGTGCTCGTTAAGCAGGGTTCCACTGTAATACAATAAAATTTAAATGCTAAATGAAAAAACATATTAACCATTCATACAATAAAATTCCTCCAGTTTATAAGAAGGTTTCTGTACAAGCTCTTTTAATTCAGGTGGTAATTTATTAAAAATTTTAATACCAGTATAGTAAACACTATTTTGATACAATGTTATGGAGGAGGTAGGAGGATATAAATTATCGCTATGTCTGATCTGTACATTATGCTTATCATAATTAATAATAAAGAAACTTCAACAATATTATACATAGCTTACAATAACTGACAGATTATTATGCATTCTTTGCACTGTGTTTGAGAAGTATTGCTTATAGAAATGGTTATATCTCCGTGTCATTCCTTGTGTGTCAGTCTGTGTGCTTCAACTTGAGAAATGCTGAAGAGATATTCACAAAATTTGTAGCTTTTAATTTCCTGTAACTGGTTATGATTACATTGCATTCCCTAGATCCTGTATTAGATTGTCTAAGTATTTACGAGAAGTTTGGTTTTCTTAATGGTTAGTATAGACATTTATTGACACATTTAATTTTTTCAGGTGCTTGCTATAGATAAGTGGAATACAGATTCAGTGGAAGAATTCCTGAAAATGCATTTGCTGTCTGACAGTGAAGAAAACGATTTCTTAGAAACAAATATGATATAATAGCTGACAGTTAACTAGTTAACTTTATATAGGTTACCAGGTGTTTAAATAATGATGTGAGAAAATGATGCAAAAACATATATTACTTATACATAAATATTTAACTCAGTTTAATTTTTTTGTATGTATTTATTTTACTGGCTTCCCTTCGTTTTAAAATACTCTTTTTTTTCAGATTTACTTGAAATTCAGATTTGTACATTTGATTCCAGCAAAGATTTCAGCTAATGACGCTTCACAGTGTTACTGCATAAAGAACCTATCTGCATTTAAAAAAAAAGATGAAGAGAGAAATTTGTATTGTATGGTTGGTGTTTTGTAATATAGTGTAAAACATTCAAATAGGTTTATTGTTTTGAATGTATATAATCCAGTCCTGTTCCAGTCTCCATTTGAGGGATATCACTGTAGATTACTTGCTTCTGTGTTACTTTTGTCAGCTACTGAATGTACATGTTAAACTGAAATACAAAAAATTGAACCATAATATCTGAGCCTAGGTCTTTTGAGGTTGATATTGCAATTGAAAGATTGGAGAGTGTAAATCACCAGGCTGTTGCTGAAACAGTAGATGAAACATGACATTCTGAATGAAGATCTATTCATCCTATTTGGAATAAAGAATTGTGACAGTATGAGCTGTGTATATTGATTGCATTAAGCCCTAGTGGCACGCTTATGTAAATGGCAACCTTCTTTTCCTCAGTTTATAAATATACCCGTTAGCATATGTGTCCTTTGTGTCTCCCCCCATCATCCCTTGGTGAAGGTAGCTCTGAAACACAGATACTACCTAAACTGCGTGTGATGGTCTTTTCCAAATTATTGTCTGGTACTATATCCAAAATAGTTCTAGCTTAACTCCTCCCTTTTTCCAGTGTGCAATCTACCTGCTATGAATGAGCCATTCGCAGGCTTATTAAAATTCCATCTGATTGTCTTGCTTTATTGGTGTTATTCACTTGTTCATTTGTTCTTATATTTTGTAAGTTACTGTAAAAATTAGAATATACAAAACTATCATTTTGCCTGTGGTTCTGCAAGGGTGTGAAACTTGGCCTCTGACATTAAGGGAGGGACATAGACTGAGGGTGTTTGAGATCAGGGTGTTGAGGAGAATATTTGGACTGAAGAGAGATGAAGTGACAGGAGGTTGGAGAAAACTGCATAATGAAGAGCTTCATAACTTGTACTCTTCTCCAAATATAATTAGAATGATCAAATCAAGGAGGATGAGGTGGGAAGGTCATGTAGCACGAATGGGGGAGACGAGGAATGCATATAGGATATTTGTGGGAAAGCCAGAAGAAAAGGGACCACAGGGAAGACCAAGGCATAGGTGGGTGGACAATTTTAGAATGGATCTTAGAGAGATAGGATGGGATGGTATGGATTGGATAGATCAGGCTTGGGATAGGGACCAGTGGAGGGCTCTTGTGAATATGGTAATGAACCTTTGGGTTCCATAAAATGCTGGGAAATTCTTGAGTAGCTGCAGAATTGGCAGCTCCTCCAGAAGGGCTCAGCTCCACGAGTAAGTAAGTACTGTTACAAAGTCAGTAAAAGTCCGTCGAGTGTAACAATTTATAGGTCACTTCTTTATCACTTCTGCCTTACATGTTCCGGTTTAATATAACCATCATCAGAGGCACATAGTACAAGCATGAAAACACTGCCATTGTTTAAGATGTACACAGTTATGTTTGCTGCGTGAACGCTGCTACAATACATCGACGTGTAAAAGCACAACACCTGTTAGGATTGTTGAATGCACGTTCAGTTCTCGCATTCATCCGAAACTGCCCTCAAGTTAAAACGCCAATGTTAAAATATTTAAAATTTAAAACATTTGAAGTAAAATGTTAAGCTCCTCCTTGTTAATTCGTCCCGAAGATGGGAGATGTCAGCTTGAGGATATGTGGCTTATGGTTAGATGTAGTTAGTACACAACACGCAGCACATAGGAAACATCTAACCATAAGCCACATATCCTCAAGCTGACATCTCCCATCTTCGGGACGAATTAACAAGGAGGAGCTTAACATTTTACTTCAAATGTTTTAAATTTTAAATATTTTAACATTGGCGTTTTAACTTGAGGGCAGTTTCGGATGAATACGAGAATTGAATGTGCATTCAACAATCCTAACAAGTGTTGTGCTTTTACACGTCAACGTATTGTAGCAGCGTTCACGCAGCAAACATGACTGTGTACATCTTAAACAACGGCAGTGTTTTCATGCTTGTACTATGTGCCTCTGATGATGGTTATATTAAACCGAAACATGTAAGGCAGAAGTGATAAAGAGTGACCTATAAATTGTTACACTCAACGGACTTTTACTGACTTTGTGATTGATAGTGTAACGGACCAAAAATGAAACAATTCAAAATAAGTACTGTTACTTTTAATAATATACTACTAGTCTGTATTTCTAGAATTCTTCCATCTTATGTTGTGTTCCATTGTTTGTTGACTACTGTCCCATCCAATCTATGCCATATAGCAGACAGCATAAGAGTGGGAGGGACCTATTATTGTGCCTGTTTTATTGAAGGTGGATAAAACTGACTGTATAAAATCACATCAGGTATTCCTTTATGATTAACCCTATATGTAGACAATGTGAACAAAATTATTGGGGATCATCAGTATGGATTTTGATGTAATAGATAACCTGCTGAGAATCCCTTCATTACATTTTCTTAAGCACTGAAATTGATAGAATGATCAAAATTAGCTTGTATGTGAACCTTTTACTGTCTTCCATAATTTTTGTGCTCTTCTCAGTTTTCTTTGTTCTTCCTTTGAGAAATGAAAGAAATATACATGTGTGCAAGTGGTGTAGGTGTCTTGCATACACTGTATGAAAAGAGGTAGTTTTCTACATTGCATCAGTTTAGTCACTCTTCAGTGGTCTTTGTAATTTCAAGAGTTGGCATTTGAAAAAGAAGCAAGCATCAGTGCATCAGTTTAGTCACTCTTCAGTTGTCTTTGTAATTTCAAGAGTTTACATTTGAAAAAGAAGCAAGCATGAAGTTTCTGGAAGTAAGTGATGCGTGGCCTAGTTAGTGTGTGTCATAACGAGCACCCAGGAAACCTCTGTTTTGGCACTGGCATCCAGTGGAGTTGGACAATCAAAGAACAGTGGCAGGAAGTCAAGACTCCAAATGGGTAACTGGTTTCTGAGTGCACCCCACAGTTGGACATTAACCACAAACTACTGTTGACTGGAATACTTATACGTGAAGAGTCTGCACATGCAAATTGCAGCAGTTGGTGCAGGTGTTGGTTATTAAAGGCCATGGCATGACACCAGAAAGTAAGATTCAGCCTGGTGAAGTAGTCTGACAGCAATGGCTGTTAAGCAGTATCTGCTGTGAGACAAAGGAAATATTTCTGGTCCAAGTGTTCAGTCAAATTGCTGAAACTCTTGCCAATAATCTCTGACTCATGGCATCCCTACAAAATATTGCAAAATGCTAGCTTTCAGTATCTGTATGTGACTCACTGCTGCAGCTTCATAGGTCCAACAGATGCCCACATGCAAACAATAGATAATGTGGCATTCTGCAAAGTGAAGCAAGAAGAAAAGAGTAGCACTCACAGCCTTGTACATGGATGCCTTCAAACAGATATTTAGTGTGAATGTTTGGGCCCCAAAATGGTGTTCCAGTAGACAGGCTGTTATTGATGTTGCTTTAGAAATATTATGTTATTGATACTGTTGCTTTATAAATAAACTATTCTAGATGTTGATCCTTGAGAAATAAAATGTGCATCATTTTCCCACTGTTTCCAGTTATTTTAGTTCATAAGAAAACCTAGGGCTGTGTCCACATTAGCGAGCTGAGGTTTAAGCCAAGCTTCAAACCGAGCCCAGTTGCGAGCACATGTTATAACTTTCCATGCGGCTCACAGTTATGTTCGCCAACTATGGACGTGTTTAATGCTCGCGACATTGCGGCTCAAAGCTCAGCTCCCTAATGTGGACACAGCCTATGGATGAGCTCTTCCATGAGTTCCTTGCAGCACCACAATACGTTTTTGACATATTCATTTTTGTGTTCCTGATTCTCGGTACCATTCCTCGGCTGCTACCCTCAGTTTGGTATTTTTTTTATTGCTAGTGGGGTGGGACAAAGTCCATTGTCCTGCGGCCACTTCTGGCCTATTGTACCAGCCCCAGATGATAGGTGAGGGTGATTGTGGAGCAATTGGTGGAATGAAGATTGGCAGGGGAAACCGAAGTACTCAGGGAAAACCTGCCCCAGTGCCACTTTGTCCACCATAAATCCCACTTGACCAGACCCGGAATCGAACCCGGGCCGCTGCTTGAGCTATGGCGAGGCTTCACTTTGGTCTTACAATAGCTCTTCAAGTCTATGACAGGAATCAAGTACTGAGCTTCACCTTTTCAAATACTCTCCTTTGCCAAAGCATCTGCCATCTCACTGAGGACAATACCCATGTGTTCTGGAATCCACACAAATTTAATAATAGAGAATATTTGTATAGTCAATGAAAAGAGTATATATTTTCTTCTGATAATCACAGAGCAAAGCTGAGTAGCCTTATAACAACATGAATTGTTCATGTTCATCTTCTAAATTAAAACTTTTGGTCTGGTATGTGCAGTTTGAATGCCGGAGAGCCTGCATGTAAGGAGGTTGCTAATTGTGTCCTTGAGCATATCAATCATTTCCTCTGGTAGAAATTTGCGTTGGAAACAGCAACAGACGATAACAGGTCCTAAAGTATTCTAAAGCAGGGGGGGGTGAAACTCCAATTGGGGAGAGGGAAACATGCAGAACACCCATCTATATTCAACTACATCAGTGGTTCTCAAACTTTTTACATCTGAGCCCTCCCCCCCTGACAAGAGAAAATAATCTCAGGCCCCCAGCCTGTTTTTTTTTTTGTCAAAATGTAAGCCATGGTATGTTTGACGTTTTATTCAGTTTATTTTGTTTTTTTCTACATACTATTTAGCAGTTTTTTACTCAAAATTAAAGTATCACAGTATTAGGCCTACAATAGAAATTAGTTTTAACACTTGCAATTAGCCAAAATATGTATTGAAATGAAACGATATTTAACTAACAAGTATTTAATTTTTTTCTGCAAAGAAAATCAAACATTTAAATGTAAAAGTTCAGTGTGATGGATGGGCCTGCTTTTGAGAACAAAGTTTATCAAAACGTGGTGTGATATCAGAAATGGCCACTCTAACTTCTTTAGCAATATTTAGCCTTGAACGATACTTTGATTTTATAGCTGCCAAAGCAGAAAAGCCTGTCTCGCATAAGTAAGTTGTTGTGAAAGGAATCAGTATCTTCAATGCCTTCTGGCTCAAAGTTGGGAATTCCTTGCCAATATGTATCCAGAACTCCAACAAAGACAATTTCTTAAATTTAATTTGTAATGAAGTATCACTAGTGAGATCGATGAGTTGTTCTTGCTCATTTACCTTCAGAGATGATGGCCCAGGAGCATTTTCAAATCAATTTTTAATCAAATTACATTTATCAAAATCAGTGCAAAAGTATTTTTCGAAATGAACTTCCAACATTAGAGATGATCAAGTAGGCAGCTTATTATGTCCATTGGAAGCACTGGATTATTAGTGTCTTGTACCATTGACACTAGAGTAGGGAACATGTCTAGTGTGTCATTTTCCATACTGTTTCTCCAGAGCTCTAATTTTCACATGAATGCCTTCACTTTGTCATTCCAAGAAAGTACAGTTTCCTCATTCCCTTGAAGTGAAGTGTTGAGGATATTTAGTTTCTCAAATATATCTGGAGGTAAGCCATTTTCAATAAAAAATCCCTGTTGCTGAAACTGTCTGCCAGTGAGTGATTTTCCCCATTTAAAAACAGAACACCTCATGCCTCAGCTTAAACATTCTCTTTAATACCTTGCCTCTTGAAAGCCATCGAGCATCACTAAAAAAACAACAGAGTAGTGTGTTCGGCACCCATTTCCTCACACAGCATTTTAAAAAGTCTAGACTTCAGAGGATTTCAGAGGATGCGGCTGCTGCCGTACTACCAACGCTGTCGCTGGCATATGCGTTTTATAATTGCCGGTAAAGAGAATAATTATTAGTAATTTTGAATTTCATGATAATTAAAGCCTGTACTCATCAAAAGTTTTTCTATATGTATTTTTATTTTTTGTTACTTTTCTAATTCATTTAGGGCAGTTTTAATTTTTATCTGTAGGAAAGTGTGCTGCGCTCCCCTTTCAAGCCCTTCGCCCCCCCCCCTGAGGGTCGCGCCCCACAGTTTGAGAACCACTGAGCTACATGAACTAGATAGTCTGGAAATGACTGGAATCGATCATAATACACCTATCGCAATTATTCGAATCACATAAGTGTGAGCCAATCAGAGGATCTTAAATTTCCGTTGAAGGTTGTGGTCGTTAGCTCAGTAAAACTTCAACAGAATCCACGTTTTCGCGCATAATATTAGACGTACGTATGAGTAATGGTATGAAGGCTGAGCCATAAAATTGGCCCTCGCACTGCGACCTTCAATGATCTATTGTGCTTCTCTTTTGGATTAGTATTACAGACGTACGTACGTTTCAGTTAGGGTAGGTTTATGTTTGTAACCGGTACATTACGCGTTTGCATGATGAAAGCCACATAAGGTAAACTATAAGATATAAACCTCACATCTTACGTATAAGATATACTGTCGAAAACACAGAAAGACTGCTCGTGTTCATCTCTTGACAGCCGCAAAAACTGTGTGTGACGGTGGTGTAATTTGCCCGTGAAAGTGGAGATGTAAACTCGCCCAACCTAACCTATTAGAACTCGTAAATGAGACACGCCCAGACAAGTGCCCTAGAATGCCGGGAGGAGAAAGAAGTGGGAGCAAGGTACTTTGTTTTGTTTGAGAGTAAGCATTTTCCGTAAGTTGGTAAGTCAGGACGTTGTGAAATTTGAAAGATAGGAATTGTCTGCGTTATAGAAGTTCGATAGTTGTGAGGAATAACAGAGTTTATATATCATGCAGTTTTGAATGTGGGGATATTGTGTAAAGTGTGGGAGGTTGGAGATTTTTGGGAATGTGAAGTTTAATAAATATTATAAATACTTAGATATGTGAGATATCTTGAAACATAGAATCGCTCTTGGATACATAGTGATATGATGCACCAGTTAATCTAGCCGAACTGTGCCAGAATGTGGAGTGAGGCAGTGCTTCAACTGAATTGAATTGAATTGAATTTATTTACATTCTATAAATCCTAAGCAGGTTAGTACCTTTGGATACAGAACAAGTCAAAAGGTTACATACATAAGTACAGGCAATTTTAGCTTAAAAATTAATATAACTTAATTTTACATCATTCTCTATTTACATTGAAGTATTCATCTAAAGAGTAGAAGGAATGAGCATGTAGATAATTCTTTAACTCTGATTTAAACTTTTTAGTATCATTGCCCAAGTTTTTAA